AAAAAAAAAAAAAAAAAAAAAAAAAAAAACACATCATAGTAAAATTAATACCTTCTCAGCTTCGCATCGAAGCTAAAAATGCGCTATCTGGTAAAAAAATAATAATAAAAAAAAAAAAATTATTTTTGTTATCAATGACCTTTAAGAAGTCTATGATATAAATTTCATAAATTTCTGAACTATACCAGCACACACGTTAGGTGATTTCACATGGAATGACCCTACTTTATTATATTTATAATATCTCATTAGAAATTACAATATTAAATTATTCTAACAATGTAAGAATTACATAGTATATAATTTAACTTTTTATTAGTTGAAAAATACATAATCTTACTTTTCTATAGCCTGTTTTACCTAATATCAATGGCCCTATTAATCTATAGCAGATACTAAAATAACTGAAATAAAAATGTGTATATTCATTTATTTAAAAATAAAATTAAACAGCTTTCTGTTATATACAAAAACAACTTTATTTTTTGTAATGTAAATACTATATTGTTCCTTATAAAAAGGTCTATAGAACCAAATAATTTCTATAAAAATGAACGAGTATTAATGTAAATTTTAGAAAAACAATCAACATTATTTATAGAAATGATTATAACTTTTTTAACTATTAAGTGGATGAGAGAAATAGTAAAATCTAATCTTGAAATTAGATTATGTTTTTATATTATAAAAATAAAGTAATATATTCAATAATTCTAGTACCTTTTCATGGTATATTATTTTAGTGTGCTGCTAATAATAAATACAATCATCATATTTATTTGAGGATAACAGTCTTGCATATTTAATGGGATATGTAGCATTTAAATTTGAATAAAAAGTGTCCGAATCTTGTGGATAATTTGAATAAACCTAATGATTGGATAGAGGCTAAACAATTTGGGAAATTAAAACAACTATCACCTACATTAATAAATTTATGAAAAATCATAGAAACTATTCCAAAAAAGTTAAATGGAAATGGTACTTATAGAAATACAGTAAATGTAAAATATTTTATACATACATATGATTAAATTTTTATTAGATGATATTAGAAAAACTCCGGGCTTGATAAAGGAGGTACTGGAATTAACTAAAAAAGGCTTGTAATTCAAATGCTCTTTTGGTGGATGAAGAAGTTCTAAACTGCATTTAAACTATTAGAACGAGAATATATTTTAGATTTCGGACTATAAACAAAAAACTCGCATCACAAGAAACGAGCAATAAAAAAAAAAATTCAAAAATTTATAAAATAATCATTAAAATTATAATTTAATTCACCATGTGATTTTTATAAATACTGTAACAATTTATATTTACTGTAAGTAATTACACCAGTGTTTCCCAAAGTGGGCGATATCGCCCCCTTGGGGGCGCTATAGCTATCTAGGGGGGCAGTTGAAGTTACATACTTAATTAGGGGGCATTGTATTACAAAAAAGGGGCGGTGACTGTTTCAATTTTTTTTTAAACATTATGTAGTACAAATTATTGTAAGCGTGTATTTCGTATTTTTAGAATAATTGTTCGTTGTCTGTTGACGAATAACAGGTCTTTATCGCATTAACAGCAACCAAGTACATTATTGTTATTTTGGTATATCGATATTATACTATAATATTGTATTATCTGATTTATATTTGTACTTAATAATTTAGTATACTCGTGGATACCGACCTTGTATGTTGTCGTGTTTTTCTAATAATTTTATTTACGTGTTTTCTACATCATGGCCGATTCAAAGAAAAAATGTAGGCAATATAATATTGAGTATTTGAAGTATGGATTTATTCAGTCACCTACAAGTATTACATTACCGATGTGTCTTATTTGCCAAAAAGTTTTTTCAAATGAAGCTATGAAACCGTCAAGACTGCAAGAACATCTAACAAAAGTTCATCCTAATAAAAAAAATATGAGTTTATTGGATTTTCAAACACTTGAGAAGAAAATTTTGAAACAACCAACATTGGTCAACATGTTTTCAACAGCGTCGAAACAAGACGATGACGGATTGCGTGCTTCGTACAACATTTCTTTATTGATAGCCAAATCTGGTAAACCACATACTATTGGTGAAGAACTTATTATACCAGCTATAAACGAGGTATTAAACACAGTACTGCATAAACCAGCTTTTGATGTTATTAAAAAAATTCCTTTAAGTAATAACACAGTCCAAAGAAGAATTGATGAAATGGCTCAATCGGTTGAAGAAATATTATGCGAGTATTTGAAAACCACCAAATTTTCCATACAACTTGATGAATCAACCTTATCTGATAACGAAGCCTTATTATTAGCTTACGTACGATTCGTAAAAGAAGAAAAGATTTGCCAAGAATTATTATTTGTTAAAAATTTAGTTACTAACACTAAAGGAGAATCAATCTTTCAAACATTGGAAGAATTTTTCAAAGAAAAAGAAATTCCTATGTGTAATATCTTATCAGTAGCGACCGATGGTGCTCCAGCAATGGTAGGACGTTATCGAGGTTTTATTGCTTATTTAAAAAAAATAATACCAAATATATTAGCTATACATTGTGTCATTCATCGACAACACTTGGTTGCTAAAAATTTGAGTGAGCGCTTACATGAGTCGTTGTATTATGTAATTTCAGCTATAAATAAAATTAAAAATAATTCATTGAATGACAGATTGTTTGGAAAACTTTGTACTGAAAACGATGAAGAGTTCAATAAATTGCTATTTCACACTGAAGTTCGTTGGTTGTCTAAGGGTGCTTGTTTGGATAGATTTTATAAGTTGTTTGACTCGGTGCTTGAATTTTTAGAAACTAGAGATGATGTTTTACGAGTCAACTTAATAAAATATAAAAGTGATATTGCTTATTTGACAGATCTGTTTAAAAAATTTAATGAAACAAACTTGCAGCTTCAAGGTGATGAATTGACTTTAATCAAAACAAAAAATATTATTTCTGCATTTATAAAAAAACTTCTTATGTACAAAATAAATTTAGGACGAAAAGAATTTATACAATTTCCAAATCTATCAATGGTTCAAAAAAATGATGAAGATATAATTACATACTGTCAACACTTGGAAGCACTACATTCCGATTTCAATAAACGATTTGAAGATATTCTTAAAATGGTCATACCCGGATGGGTTTTAGATCCATTTTCAAGTGCAGAAATAATAAATTCTCCAAAATTAGAAGAAGAATTGATAGAACTATCAACAAATGAGGAACTAAAATTCAAGTTCAAGGAAGGATACCAAACTTTCTGGCTACAAAAGCAGATACCTTTACTTTATCCTGGATTGTGGGCTATTGTACAGACATTTTTGATAGCATTTCCATCATCCTACTTAGTTGAACGTGGATTCAGTGCAGTTACTAATCTACTTACAAAGAAAAGACAACGGTTACAAATAACCAATCGTGGGGACTTGAGAATGCTTCTTACGAAAATCGAGCCTAACATACACCAACTTCTAGCAAAACACCAGGTACACCCATCTCATTAGGATATTATTTTTGACTTCTGTATGTACAATATTATAGTAACTTTATTATGAACTTATTTGTAAACAATAAAATAATTTTCCATTGCATTCTTTTGTATCAATATATATTTTTTAAAGGGAAGGGGGCGTTTGTAATACGTATTTTTTTTTAGTGGGCGGTAAATATTTAAAGTTTGGGAAACACTGAATTACACAATAAATTGATATTTAACTATTTATATGCAGTTTTACTCAAGTTAGATTTATTAACGAGTTCAATCTTGGTTGATAAACTACTTCAATGTAGCAGATAATACAATAAAGATATATTACAACACAGTTAATTTTAATAATAATTATAAAAAAATTATAAATGAAATTTGAAACCGAAATCTATTAAAAAAGTTCATTAAAATATTTGGCTAAATTGGGATAGTACCCCTTAATATAGAATATATACAACGCAACGTATTTACGTGTGACATCACTTTGAGTTTATTGTTGGTTGCATATTTTGCCCCTAGGTCAATCATGCGTACTAATTTGATCGAGCATACTTCTTATTCATTTTACTACGTACATAGTAAATTGAATAAAATAAAAACATCCATAAATCACCCAGTGGGACTATACCGTAAATAGAAACGTAATTAATGGACCTCGATCATAAAATTTTTTGCCGCTTCAAATGAGAAAAAATTTTTGATTATTAATATGTATAATTTATAAGCTGGATCCGCGCCTAGTATATGAATCTGAACAATACTTATCACAAACTAGGTAACACAAAGCAGCATGTTATAGTCAGGAATATTTTTAAAATTAACCAATTTTTTAAATAACAAAAAAAAATTCGTTTTCCATATCTATATAATCCCTCTACTTTTCTTATTTAGCTTTACTATTACTAAGATTTTTATTTGCCATATAAACAAATTTTTGGCGCTACTGTTACTCAATTTAAAAATATAACCTTAACATGTTGCCCTATTCTTCCATTGGTTAATAAATCTATAAAAATATATAAGAATTTCAGCAAAAAACCGTTTTCAATTATCTTACTTTTTTATAAGGGAAATAAGTTACCTATAAGTAATTTTAATATAGGTATTTATTGATAGATACCTAATTTATAGTGAATGGTTAATGATTAGATCGAACTTTTGACATTCATAAAATATTAACCAGTTTTAACAATTTGAATCTCCAAATAACTAGAATGAATTCATAAAGTAAAAGGTTCGCAATTATGTTCTAGAGAATTAATCAGTCACAATTGAAATCAATTTATAAAGGTCAATTATACGAAATTTCTGAATGAAATAAATATCGAATTTTGTAAGATTGTATCTACCTTTAATAATTATATCTATCAACTTTAGTACTACATTATTGATAAATTATTACATTACCTTTAATGCGAGGCTGAGATGGTATTAATTTTATTATAGTAAAATGAATATCATATATAAATTTTAATTTTGCCTGTTACCACAAATTCTCACCAGACCGATTTCTTTCAACGATACGTCAAAAGATAAATAGTTATATAAATATTATATGAATCCTAACTACATTAAATATTAAGTTAAACTTATTTTTAATTGTTTGCCAATATCTTCTTTAAGTGGAAAATAATAACCTTAAAAATTTATAATAGATTAAATTACTCTTTTTATCTGCCAGCAAGTACGGTGTACAATTGGCGGGTTGCATACATTTTAAGAATACTCAAAATAATATTTGGAATACTATAGAGAAAATTTATCTAAAATATATAATCGAATACATTTTTTAAAAAGTATTTCAAATACTTTAAAGTGATCACAATCTAAATTTCAATCAAATTTTTTTTTTATACTATGGATATAACAAAATTAAATTTTCCAATACATATAAACAAATTGGTATATTTTACTTGTACAATTAACAAAGACACATTTATTTTATGTAAAAACTCAAAATGATAATAATTTTAAAAAAGTACATAAGAATAATGTAAATGAACATTCATACACTGCAACAATAAATACTTGAATTAATTATTTTTATAACAAAGAAACATTACAGTATATAAATTATACTATTTTTTTTTAAACTTCACAGGAAAAATAAGAAATATTTAGTTTTTTACGAGTTATAACAAGTTAAAGAATGGGAGAATGGGAATTTGCCTTTCCCGTCGAAAAAATTATGCCGTCAGACTAAATAACCGTTCGTAAAAATTGACTTAATGTAAAATCGTATAGGTCAACATCTATATATCAATTATAGTATTTATACTATAATTCTATCTACTATAAATTAATAAAATTAAAATGGTAAAAATTCAATATATTTGATAGTATTCTAATAGTTGGTAGTAGTAATTCTTAATATTGAAGTACGAACACTACAAAAGAAATTATTCATCAAAAAAATGTAAATGGAAAAGAGTAAATTTTCATATCAACTATCTTATAAGTTGATATATTCAGTAATTTGTTATACATAATTAAGTAACAGGCACGTATTCATTTTTCTTTTCGTAATTTTTAAAATAAATATTAAGCTGTGTATGGTATTTATAGATTCGGAGAAAGCGTATAATAGAGTACCGGGAGAAGTTTTAAAATGGACATTAATGAGAAAAGAAGTTCCGAAAAGATACATTAATATAATAGAAGATATGTATGATGTATTAACCAGGGTAAAAAGCGTAGGATGAGTAACAGAAGGTTTTCGGGTAAGAGTAGGAGTGCACCAAGGTTCTGCTTTAAGCCCTTACTTATTTTCTATAGTGATGGATAAAATTACTAGAGAAATACAAGGAGAGGTGCCGTGATGCATTTGTTTGCTGACGATATAGTGTTAATAGGAGAAAATAGAGAAGAAATTAATCAAAGGCTAGAGGTGTGGAGATCAGCTCTTTAAGAAAAGGGTTTAAGAATAAGTAGAAGTAAGACAGAGTATATAGAGTACGAGTTTGACAAAGGAGAACACGAAGTAGGTAAAATGAGGAGGTTAGTGACAATAGGAGAGGACGTGATTGGAGAGGTGGAGAATTTTAAGTATTTAGGGTCAGTTGTGCAAAAGAGCGGTGGTATTGACGAGGATGTAAGACACAGAATTAAGTGCGGATGGTTGAAGTGGAGAGAAGCTTCTGGCGTCTTATGCGATAAAAGAATTCCAATGAGGCTTAAAAGTAAATTCTACAAGACTGTAATAAGGCCAGCTATGATGTATGGTTCAGAGTGTTGGGCGGTTGATAAGAAAATAGAGCAGAGAATGAGTGTAGCAGTGATGAGAATGCTTAGATGGATGAGTGGAATGACTAGAAAAGATAGAATAAGAAACGAGCATATAAAAGGGAGTATAGGTGTAGCGTCAATCGTGGATAAGATGAGAGAAAATAGACTTAGATGGTTTGGTCATGTAATGAGGAGAGAAGAATCGGAAAGCTATAAGAACAGTTTTAGAAATGAATGTTGAAGAAAGAAGAAGGAGAGGAAGATTAAAAAAACAGATGGAGAGATGTTATTGAATGCGATATGAGGACTACTGATGTGAACATAGATGATGTGGGAGATCGCGTCAAGTGGAAATTTAGGATAAAGGTGGCCGACCCCATGTAGTTGGAATTAAGGTGAGAAAGAAGAAGAAGAAAAATTTTTATAATAAATATTAATTTTGATGCCAATTTTTTGTTGTTAAAATTTTTTCTAAGAGAAACATTTTTAGTCTAAAATTTGGTAGTCACATGAATTGGAGAAGGGGAATGTGGGATAAAATGTAAATTTTGAGCATAACGATCGAACATTTTTTTATCTATTAAAAAGTAATGTTTTCTCTACTTTTAATTACTAAAATGATGCTACTGTGTCAATAACAATGTAAAAAAAACACACAGCACAGTGGAGACGTTATTTAGCTATTCAGATTTTAGGACTAAAAAGTGTTTATGAATTTACCTAACTCCATTTGAATATCAAAAAACTGTAGCACAGTAGAGTAGTGGGACAGTATCAACGTGGCATAGTTGGATTCAGTATAGATTTAATCTGACAGTAATTAAAATCACCATCATAAAAAAGGCTTCGAAGCAAATATGTAGATAGTGTTTAATTTAAAAAAATTGATTATTCCAAAAGCAATATGATTTCTTATTTATATCCTGATTACAAATTTTATGATTTATAAGTGTTATATATGAATAAATATTTATTATAGCAATTAAGTATAGTATGAAATGATAGTTTATGATTTAGTATTGTAATTTTTATGGAGAAATTATAAAAAAATATAAAGTAATTATTAATTTTATGACAAACGTATATAAAAGTTGAAGGTCTTGATGAATTACTTAAAAAAAATTGTATGTTATTCATAAATAAATTTACTGGTCTACAAGGAATTTTCATCAGAGACCAAAATATACTTTTCTAAACCCATTTTTACGTCAATTTCAAATTGGCAATTAGAGTTTCGCATATGGCCTAAATAATAATAAAATCCTTCTAATTAATATAACAAAAATTTATATTTGATTATTAGGTTACGTATGAATAACCAATAAATATATTTTAATTAAAAATAAGTTGAAAAAGTTCTACTTTCTATACGCATTTTTAAGTTTTAAACCTACTTTGTATAAACGGAAATAGTCCGGTTAAAAAAAATAGTATCTCGTATAAAAGAAGTATATAAATAGTACTTATCATAAAAAATTGTAATGATCCATCCATATTTCAACAAGTTATAGAAATATAAATTTAAAAATGTAAAATATAAAATCGAGAATTTTAACACAAAAAAAGCATACGGTAGCCATTTTCACCATGAAGACAAAATAAGTTTTTTTTCCATAATAAAGTATATTACATAAACTTTAATTTAAGATATATATAAAAGTTTTAGTATTTTCGGAACACTTTCAAAAGTAAATTTTTTTGTAAAATAAATACCTTTTCATGTTTGCATCGAAGCTAATATATAAAAAAAAATAGTTTTCTCAATTAACGAAAATAAAATAAAAATAACGCCTCCTGATTTATACATTATTATTGTTTAAAAATAGAATTTTTGACGATCGAAACATTTAAGTAGGAATATATAATCAATACAATGTAACAAATAATTGTTCATTATAAATAAAAATATATGTGCCAATAAACAGGTTGGGTTGACTTTTTTACAATTCCTCAAAATTGAGGTTATGTTTGTTTACTAAAAATGGTACTATGGACAAGGGCGTTGAATAAAACTAAAATAAGGTTTTAAAAATAAATTCATAGGCTCTTTATTTATCATTGGTCTTAAGTGTAACACGTGATAAGTACGGCGCTGGCCATAAATCCATAGGAAATATTGTGCTTAAAATCGGCTAAAAATGTTCGAAGTGTATAACATTTGAATTCCAATAAAGTTGTATGTAAAATAATAAATATTGTATATTATAAAATTTATCTTATCACGGCCGGCTGGAAAAGGGTAGACATCCTGTGATGTTACCCAATAAGTGTATTTGTCTAAGAAATGGATACCAATCGGTTTAATGGTAAATTACGTTGTCGTTATCAAGTAGAATTTTTAGAAAATTTAGAAAGAGTGGTGATTTAACGGAGGTGATTTTGAAATTTTTTATGACACCGTAGGTAGTTAGAAGTTAGTTCATCCCTTGTAACTACCTTTAATGAAGAGTATTGTATCGCATATTTCCCCAAAATCCCATTCAACGTCAAATTTGCAGCCGATGCCTCATCGACGCGCAGTATCTGTTGTTATTTACTTCGAAATTAACGTCAACGAGGTCGTGGCATCAGTGGTGGGGATAGTGGTGGTAACGAGTAGGAGTTGGTCGGCCGGGTTCAGCGGTAGTGGGGACGGCAGGCGAAGAGAACAGTGGGACACGTTGTTTTGTCTGGTCTGACGTTCGTGTGTACTGCATATACGTGAGTGTATATTGCGCGTTTGCCGAATCGACTACGACGGAACGCACTTGTTCGTCGCTGCTACCGTCGTCGTCATGCAGTAGTTAGTGTCGTCAGTGCCTAGCAAATAGAATGAAATAAATAAGTTCAAACCAATAAATTTTTTTTGTTGTTTTTGATTGTGTGTACTACATGTTTAATGTGAGCTTTAAAAATATTAAAAAAACGTGACATACGCATGGTAGCGTCCATGGATTACATCCGCATTCATTCATGTACCTCCGGGATTGGCGCGTAACGACTTCGCCGTGAACGATATCACTGTGGCCGCTGTCTATCGTAGAAATATTTCAACAACAACGTTATCGATGTTGTCGAGGAATCGGGTTTTTCCGTTATGATATTTCGCGTTGTTTTGATTGCGTTGGGCCTTGGTGTCAATGACCTTTTTACCGTGGTGCGTGTTGTGTTGACAATGGCGGAGCAGCGCGCGTTTTGTGATGTGCATTTACTTTAGAGAAACGGCATTGCCAAAGATTCTGATGACATACCGTACATTCGTTTACTTAATTCATTAAGTATATTTACTATCGTGTGATAGTAAACATCTTCTATTACAGCCCAACATTATCAATATATGGGCAATCGGCAACGTGATATCAGCAGTGTTGTTGTTCGGTTGATTAGCGTGCAGTAGTAAAATTTTGGAGTAGTGTGTTTTTACATAACAAGCGTGTGCACCCGTAGTATTCTAGTTCCAGCAGAAAGTGCGTCACAGTGTCGATTTGGTTGGTACTAAATTATATTTATTAATGTTCTTGTAATTTAGATTTGTAGAATTTACAGTTACTGGTTCAGATAATGTATAGATAAATAATGTTACACGCGTATGAGTATTACATAATAACTTGCGATTATCAAGGAAAATAAAGTCGTGCATGGAACACTGGAGGGGAAAATTAATAAAATTAGGGCTCTTAAATTATTTTGTTACTTAAGAATATTAAAGTGTCCCCAAGATGAATTTGATAAGTTTTAACTGCTGATAAGATGTGTCTGTTATTTTAACTGTATGTTTTTTTTAATTTGCCCTGTGAATTGGCTGCTATTTTTTTTGTTGATTAAATACATTAATTAGTTTCTATCTATGATACATATTTTTATCTTGTTATCTAATATTATTGATTTCATTGAATGTAAATAGTGTTCATTTAATGGTATAAGCTATTGTTTGTATTTTTTAAAACTTTTTATCTATGTCTAACCATAATTAAAAAATAGATAAATTTAATGTGTATTTTAATATAATTTAGATGTATGTGTATACATTTATAAATATAAAATGAATTAATATTATTATCTATTTACTCCTGACAACATATTATTGTATTTGGAAATCTAAATTTGAGTTTTTTTGCTAAACTTCACTGTAATAATTAATATTTGTATTTTATATCTTATGAACACAATCTTTGGATACATAAAATTTTTTTATTTTAATATAAACATTTTTATAAAGATTATAGAGGTTGTTCAAATATTTTGAAATCGGAGTTTGGAAAAAAAAACAGTCATTTTCATTTTAAACGATTCAACAATTTTGAATTAATTTTTATTATATTAAAGAAAATTGAAAAGTTGGTCAAACTGTTTAAGGTATCAAATTAATCTATGTTATAATTAGTGCTTGGAAGTTGATGAACTTTGCATTTTTGTTTTTTATTGAACAAAAAATAAACTAGTATTATACAGATTTATCTTATGAGGTTTGCAAGAAGAATTCAAAATTTTTATTTTGTATAGATCATGTTTACACTTAATCATATTATTTTTCAATTTTTCAGTAGATAATTAAAAAATATATTCTTTTTGTATTTAAAAATGATGTTTTATCAAAAATTCTGTGAAATCAAATAACAATATTATTAACTATTTTTTAGTAATATATTTTAAAACAGAATATTTTGTTTCTTAAATTATTTTTGTAACTTTAAGAAGTTATTTTTTAAGGTTTTCATTATTTGAGTACTAGTTTTTATTAACAAGTTATTTATAAAATAGGGTATATTTGGTGTTTTGTATGATATAATTCTAGTTCTTTATTTTAAAATAATCTATACCATTACTGTTTATTGATATTTTATTGTTTGTAGTGAATATGTAGGTTTATTTAAAATATATACATATATTTTCTAAAACTTTCAGATAAAAATCTTTTTATGTGAAATTTAAAATAAAATGTCAATAATAATTTTAAGATACCGCAAAAATGCTATTCTTAATCTATTTAAATATGATTTTTATTAATATTGACATAGTTTAAATGTTTCTGATATTTTTTATTCTTTTTATTTGTGTCAAATTAGTAATTTTACTGCATTTTATCAAAATAAAATTGCCTCTTGTAATACATGTTTAACTCAAATTTGTTTTTTTGATCATCCTGATAACTTTTAAAAACTAGTTTAAGTTCTCTTTCAGTACAACCAACAATATATTTTAAAAAATTTCATATTTTAAGTTTTTTAATTATAAAACTATAGTTAATATTTTTTGACATCAAATTTAATTTGTTTAGACTGAGTATATTATTTTATAAATAGTTTTTAGATTTGATACAATAATTTAAAGAAGTGTTCTTAGAGTCATCAAAAATAGTATTCTGTCTGAGTATGTATATTAAAAAAAATGTTTTAGGTCAGTATAAAAAAAACATCTTGAGTCATTCAAATTATAAAGATATGAAAAAAAACCTCTTAAATTGTTCAGAGAATACTTAAACTATATATTATAAAAAATTTGTAACTATCGTAAAATATGTTTTTGAATGCTATTTAAAATTTTATGAGAGTTATGCTCTAAAGCTAGATTTTTTCTAGTTCCATGTTTATTTTTATGTAGATTATTATTATTGAATTATTTTTAAATATTGATTTAAAACTTACATGTATCTTAATGTTAATTAAAAGAAAACTTAAATAACTATAAAGTATTATTTATGAACTTATGAAAACAATAAATTTAATTACAACAATTATTGTTATTAACTATAACTAGTATTATATTTATCAGCATACATACAGTATAATTATTTAAATTAAAAATTGCTATTTCTTATTTTTCAGATCAATAATGTAAGAAAATTATTTAAAATGTGTGGCGAGTATGATGAAATACATTGTTTTCGTGACAACTGCCCCGGAATAGGGCGATGCCGATTATGTGGTAGATTACCTCCTGTTGATCAAAATTATCATTGCATATATTATCAGTCAATAGCTCCTTCACGATTTTCAAAATCACGCCCTCAACAACATAGAAAGGCGTGGCTTTTATCATCTAAATCAGTTTGGAAATCTGATTTTCTATGTATAGCATTGTGGTGTTTTGCTCTATTAAGTTTAAGTCAAGTAACTGCAGATCAGCAGTATTCTACACAATTAGCATTGCCAAATTCAAATGTAACTCCAACACCTATTATCACAACAACTACAAATAATCCAGTTCATCTATCAGATGGTAGAAGTAAGGGTGTTACTTTCTATAATATTTTAAGTTAAAATTTGTTAGTAATCATTTTTGAAATATTTTACAAGATTTTATTTAATGTCAAAACTAGTTTCTAGTTTTTTTATTTATAATTATTTTTTCTAGTTTGTCAAAGTAAAGATATCAGAAATCGAGCTGATAATTTGAAGTCTCTTCGAGGATGTAGAGTTATTGAAGGATTTTTACAAATAGTATTGATTGATAATGCTAATGAAACAAGTTTTGAATCCCTCTCATTTCCTGAGTTACGTGAAATAACAGGATATTTATTGTTGTATCGAGTAAATGGATTAAAATCATTGGCTAAACTTTTTCCTAATTTATCTGTTATTCGTGGACAAGATCTATTTATGTCTTATGCTATTGCCATTTATGAAATGGTTCATTTACATGAATTGGGGCTGTACACTTTAAAAGATGTTGTCAGAGGAGCTATTTATATAACTAAAAATCCAATGCTTTGTTTTACACAAACAATCGATTGGAATAAAATCGCACCATCTGGAAAGGGATCTCATGTCATATTTGTAATGTTTATTTTTCTATAACATACATACTTTTTAAAAATTATTTTTAATTATTATAAAATTTTATATGTAGGACAATCGACCTGGAAATGCCTGCCCTGTATGTCCATGGACCAATGATCCAGATTGTGCAGTTTCACATAATAAGGATCCTATGTGTTGGAATACAGAACATTGTCAAAGAAGTAACTTTATTCCAAAATATATAGTCAACATTTTTAGAAAATTAATGTATTATATAGTAAGAGTTTTTTTTAATTTAATGTTTAGTCTGTCCATCCAAGTGCAATGGTCAGTGTAGTTCAGATGGTGAATGCTGCCATGAACAATGTCTAGGTGGTTGTTTTGGTCCTAATAAACAAGATAAATGTTTTGCATGTAAAACATTAGAAATAGACAGAGATTGTGTCACTGCCTGTCCACCTAATACATTAATTGTGAGTAATTTAAATAATACAATTTTTTAACATAATGATGAATTTCTTTTTTTAGTACCAAAATAGACGTTGTATCACAGAACAAGAATGTTATCGTATGCCTCGTTCTAGAGTAGAGTTACAAAACGGATTACATCCTCAATCATGGAAGCCTTTTAACAATACATCTTGTTTAATGGAATGTCCTCCTGGTTATGAAGAAGTGCCTACTGAAAATAACTATGGAAAAGTGTTCACATGCCAACAATGTGCTGGTGAGTTATTTATTTATTCATACAGACAAATGTCCAATTTAATATACATTAATAAATTACAATAATGAATAAATAGGTTAGTGAAAATGCAAAATAATGAACTAATTTAATTAATTAAAATCTTAAAACGTTCTTGTAATTAGTGTGGACAGTTCTAGCTATTTTACATTTATAGAATATAAAGAGAATGACTTTATTTTAAATATTTTCTAGTTGGTTACTATATTCAATGTTATTATTATCCCAAATCATTGGTGCATATCCTAGTAAGGAACAAATAAGAAAAGTATAGGGGTATTTGAAGATGAAGGAATCATTGAATTCTTAGCAATTACGTTTGATCATACCAAATAAGAATAAAGCTTTATTTTGGATTAATAATATATAGGTGTTGAAGAGTAGTTTTGATTTAATAGTATATCTATATCTTTAACAAGAGAGAAACATAGTAAATTTATATTTGACATACAGTAATTAAAGTTAATTGGTTTATGTTTTATGGAGTATAAAAAACTAGACATTTATTGGTATTTAGAAAAAGGTCATTTAAAGTACTCCAATAATAATTTATAATCAAGTTTAATTAAAAATATTATTCTTTAGTATCAACATTTAAATATAATATTTATTGAATTACAGGACCTTGTCGTAAGGTTTGTATAGCAGCAAATGTAGAAAGCATACAATCAGCTCAAAAATTAAAAGGATGTGTTGTTATTAATGGCTCTTTAGAAATTCAAATACGAGGAGGAAGTAAGTTATAGTAAATCAATTATTTAGACAAGTAATCAAATGTATAGAAAATTTAAAGATTTCCCTAGTGACTTTTTCATTTCAAACATTTGATTGCTATGTAGTATTTTAAAATATTCTTTAAGTCAATGAATTTTAGTTTTTAAATAATCAGTATTATAATCTTAATCCTAATCAAATTTTCCCTTTTTATAATTGCTCTAAATAAATAATAAGTAATCTGAATTTGACTACAAGACTTATATATTCATATAAATTTATTATATTTAATTATAGCAAATATTGTGAAAGAACTTGAAGAAAGCTTAAGCATGATAGAAGAAATAACTGGTTATTTAAAAGTGGTTAGATCTTTTCCATTAGTCTCTTTATCTTTTCTTAAAAAATTAAGACTTATAAGAGGAGAATCATTAGAAAGTTCAAAGTATGTAATTTTTTAAAAATATCTTATATTAAATTATAAAATAGCAATAAAAAAAAGTACTATTTTAAAGGTATGCCTTAGTTGTGTTGGATAATCAAAACTTGGTTGAGTTATGGGATTGGAAACACCATCAAGAAGGATTGAAAATTGAGCGTGGTCAAATATTTTTTCATTTTAATCCTAAACTTTGTCTATATCGAATTAAAGAACTGCAGTCAAAATTGGGCCCTCAATTTGATGTTGTAGATGATTTAGAAGTTGCTCCTAATTCAAATGGTGATAAAATAGCATGTTAGTATATTGATGTTCGAATAATTTATTTAGTTGTTACAATATAAAATAAACATTTTCTTTATTTCATATCAGGTAATGTTTCAAAATTGAATGTTAGAACAGAAATTGTTGAGACAAACTCAGTTCTTCTTAAATGGCCACCATTTACACATTATGATACTCGTACATTATTGGGTTATGTTGTTTATTATTTAGAAGCTCCAAATCAAAATATTTCATTATATGATGGTAGAGATGCATGTGGTGGTGATGGGTAAATACTAATTATTTTATTATCTTTTTTGGTTCTTAAAAGTTTCATATTATTTATGATAAAAGGTGGAAAACTGATGATGTAGAATCAACTGAAACTACTGATGATTTACTAGCACTTATAACAAATTTAAAACCATTCACTCAGTATGCATATTATGTAAAAACATATACAGTTGCTTCAGAATCTATTGGTGCCCAAAGTGATATAGAATATTTCACTACATTACCAGGAAGTAAGTTGATTCTTATTTTATATATAATTTTAATCTATGTTTTTTAGAAAAACAATGTCTTTAAAAACACAAATTAAATTCTTTTTTTTTTTTTTTTTTTTTTTAAAATTTGAAATTTTAATTAGTGTTTCTTTAAATACTTTTTCTATTGTGTAACTAGTTCAAGTATGTATTCAAGAAGTTTATGTGGTTTAGATCTCTCATACCATCCCTAGAACATTTTTAAAAATGTTTTTGAAATTAATAGTTAGTATTAGGTAATTTAATTGTTATGTGTGGCTGAAATTAAAAAACTTCCCAAAATAAATGTATGGTTACGCTAGTGTATCGTTTTCAATAAAACAAAACAAGATATTCAACCCTTATTAAAATTTATGGGTTTTCTTCTAACATTTATAAATGAGATTCACATGGTAGTACTTATTTTTGATAAATAAAAAAATACATGTATCTAAAAAAAATAAAAAATTTGTTTTCAAATATAATATTTATTTTGCTAGTAAATTTTTTATGATAAATCAATCAATCTGCATACTATTTTTGAACATTTCATAAAGTACTGCAAAAATATAGAATATTTTACTAAAACAGTTAAAAAAACAGAAACTCTCAAATCTCTTTGTCTTTAATCACTTACAAATTAATAAATATTGTAAATATACTATTCCAAAACAAATAAATCAAGATCAATATAATCAAATCTTATTACGATATGAAAACTACAAAATAGTTACACAGATGCTACAAAACACATAGGTGTAGGTTTTGCTATTAACATAAACAACACATTTATTTTATCACCCAACTCTTCCGTTTACACCACAGAAACATATGCATTGTATGGAATCAATAAAACAATGAAATAACACTTAATTATATAAAAGTGATTGATTCTATCAGTTTCCTTTTTTTATATAGTCGTTTCGTTTTAATACCTTTCCAAAAAATCAAACTAATATAATATATCTAAGAACTGACTTAAACAAATCAATAATCTTAATATGAGTTCTATTACATATATGTTGCCAACATAGTTGCAAACTCACCTATATCATCCACATTATCTTATTAAATAACTCTATCCACCACCTCTCAAGCAATACATGATATTAAAAATAAAATAATGGATTTTTAGCAATCTTTCTGAGATAATGTATTGCTTTCAAACAAGTTAAAAAACATTAAAAAGAGTCACATAAACTGAACACACATTATGTACAGTACCAGAAAAAAAGACATTTATTATAAAGTTTAAAATAGGACATACCTACTTAACTCACTTTTACTTGATCATTAAAGCACTAAAAGTCACATTTAATGATGACAATTTAAGAAGAACATTCACATATACATTAAATAAATTGTAAATTAATTAAAAACCTTTATCAAGATGGTAAAAATACATATATTGTTATATTGTATGCCTCCAGTTTTACCTTCTGTCTGTATATATGTGGTACTGTGTCAAAGACAAATTGCTGAGTAGGTGTTTATATGTTAGTTGAGTGAACCAGAGATATGAATACAAATATAATCATATTGAGTATTTAAACATTCATAAATGTTTTAAAATATAGCATTTACTTCTATCTTTTTATTACAGATACATAGTTTATACTGTTAAATAAATATAAAGAAAATATTAAATTTCAAAATGACACTACAGTTACTTTACAACCAATATTTTTACAAAAAATATCTTGAATTTATAGTTACATAAGGGCTAATATTCATAAATAACTAAGCGTTTTTAAAGTATTAATGTTTTAAACATTTACTTTACTTCTTAGACTTTTTTAATACTTCAACCTTTTCAAATGCATTCTAGAATTTGGGTATTTTTTAATGCTTAGGAAATTTTATAAGTTATGCATTTATTTAAAAACTAAAAAGCTTAATAATTTTTTTATTAAACGTAAATAATAAAATTTGTTTTATGGGGTTTCATGTCAATACACAATGAGTTAATTTTTATTTAGAAAACATATTAAGTAATAGCTTATGAAAATACCATGTATTATGTGGTGAATAAAAATTACATTAAAATTTTATTCTATTAGCTCCAAGTCCTCCTCAAAATCTTCGTGTTACTTATTATAATACTGATAGTATTACTATTGAGTGGCAACCTCCAGCTGAACCAAATGGAATTATAAAAAATTACATTATAAAATATTCACCTAACAATATATCATGGGATTCATTAGACAAAAGAGATTATTGTAGAGATGGTATGTACTAAAATATTTTTAATATTTATATTTAATTTATATATATATATATATGTATATTTAAACATTTTAGGAATCAACAAGGAATTAAAGTTAAATAATCCAACTAAAGATATAGTAAGTATTGGCAATGATAAAGAAAAAGATTGCAATTGTACAGTTCAACCAGAAAAAAAACCAACAAAAATCAAAGATGAACAACAAATAAAAACAATGATAGAATTTGAAAATAATTTGCAAAATATTGTGTTTGTTAAAAAGTAAAATTATTTGTAATTTATATAAAGTAAGTTATACTAATTGTTTAATTTTTAGCCCAAATCATAAAAGTGACAATTCTCCTAAAAAAAAGCGTGATGTATCAGGTTTTGATCCTGCAGCTGAGTTTCCAAATAATACAAACATTAGACCCAAAGGTTCAATAGATTCTGATATGAACAATATAGAAAGTAAGTGAAATATTTTTTGATAATATTATTACTAATTAACTTTAAATTTAATAATAAGTAAATACAGATTTATCCTGAAAATTCAAGTGGTGAGTTTTCACAGCTGTATGGTTAATCTCAGCTGTAGGGTTAATAGCAGAAATAGAGGTGGGTGATCTAGTTAGCTATAAAATGTAACCGTTATTTTTCACCTTTGGGCTATGTTTAAGCAAGGATTGTACTCCACATTGTAGAATTAGAAGATATACAGCAACATTGGTTGAAACTCAATTTAAAATAAAACCAAGCACAGGGGGGTATCGGCACAGTGGTGACGTGGCACAATTGGATCAAGTATAATGATATCTGACAGTGATTAAAATCATTATCATAAAAAACGCTTTAATGCAAATCTTTAGATAGTGTTTAATTTTAAAAAAATTGGTGTTTTATTCCAAAAGCTACTTGATCTGCTGGTTCTTAATTAATATCTCGATTAAGATAAAGTATGTCGAATGAAAAAGGGTTTATTAAAAAATATTATTTCTCATAAAAAAATTCTGTGGATCCATAAACTTTTCAATAAGTTATAGCATTATAAAGTTAAATATAATATAAATAATAAAATCGAGAATTTTCACACGAAAATAGCATTCAGTAGCCATTTTCGCCGTGAAGACTAGTCTAGAGGTCAAATTTTTTTTTTTTCAAATTAAAGTATATTACATTAGCTTTAATTTAAGATATATATAAAAGTGTCAGACCTTCCGGAACATTTTCAAAAGTTATGTTGAAAAAGTTAATTTTTTGTGAAAAAGTTGTCTTCTTAAATTCCCTCCTGTGGGCAGAAAAAAGGTCAAATTTACAAAAAAAAATATACCAAATGATAGGTAAAGACATCAAGCATCTATAAAAAAAAAATTATATTCATATGTTCATTTTTGAAAAAGTTATGATAGTTCTTAGGAAAAAAATTTGAAAAAATTTCGAAAATAAGCGATTTTTAAATTTGTAATTTTTTTGGATGTTTCCCCCATTTATGGAGAACGAGGGAAATTTTTTCAATTTTTGAGGGTAATGTTTCGATTAGATACGATTTGTGATTTTTTGATGTATCGTTAAAAGAAATTAGTTCGGTGAGAGCTGAGAAAAAGTGGTAACAGACAAAAAAAACACATCATAGTAAAATTAATACCTTCTCAGTTTCGCATTAAATCTAAAATAATATGAAATTATTGAGTCTTAAGAAAAAAAATTTAAATCCTTATTTTTTTCTATAAAAGTTTTAATTATATTTTAAAAAAGTAGAAAAATTGTTTTCAGTTATAACAAAGCAATTAAGAAATATAAAACTATTATACTATTATTCAATAAAGAACAATTTCATCCATTTAATATAACCAACAACTTATATTGTCTTATTAAAGTCTTGTAACAAAAAAAAAAATTATTTCTTCATAATAAAACATAATTTGAAAATATTTGACTATCGTTATGATATATCCATTATCTATTAATTTCGATATTAATATCATTATCTGATTTGGTTGGTATACTATGATCTGATTTTAACAACAATGATAACTTAACGGTATTCTTAAAAACAAAAAAAATAGTTGAAAATATTTAATTAATAATACATAAAATTTCATTTTTAGAATATAATTTTTTTTTTTTTCTAATATCGATTTACTTTTTTATACAATATTGATATATGTGTATAATTTTTTTTTTTTTTGATATTGTGATATAATATTGCTCAAATTAAGTATGATATTGATATCCAAAAATATATCGTTGAAGAACCCTATTATTTAATAATATTTTTTAAATAATAAACTATAATAAATAATAAAAAAATACCTCTAATACTGTGCAATATGTCGTAATAATACTAAAATTAAAATTATTTTTATTTACTACCTATATTTTCTATAAATTGCTTAAATTCACTTAATTTCNAAATTATTTTTATTTACTACCTATATTTTCTATAAATTGCTTAAATTCACTTAATTTCGAGTGTATTTAAAATTTAATTTTTCTCTTTAAGGATAAAGTATTATAAAAAAATATTTCATAAAAATTGTATTGAAAAGTTTAATTTAGAGTATTATATTGAATACTCTAAATTGTATATTTATTTGTGAAAATAAAATATTTTTGTTTGAAAATTATTCTTGGTATTTTTACAATATTTTATTTATGTTTGATAGATGTTAACATGGTTACAATTGTGGTAAACAGTACAACTACTAGCTTTACATTAAATAAAAATTTAACACACTTTACAACTTATAATATTGAAGTGTATGTGTGTCGTTATTGGAGTGAATTCGAAATACCAAATTCTAAGGAACAAATAAGTAATTGTAGCACTCAAAAAGCTATGACTACTGCTTCAACTACAAAAAAAGGTAATTTTTTTGTTTAGTTAAAATTAAAAATTAAAAAAAAAAAAAATTTTGATAGCTACATAATGATAAAAATTTTAATTTCTAGATTCTGCTGATAAAATTGATGAAACTGAGTTAAAAGCGACAGACTCTAATACTACAGGATCAGTTGTCATTTCTTGGAGTGAACCTCAAATTTCAAATGGCCCTATAGTTAGTTATACTTTAGAGTATAAAAAAGTTGGAGATAATATTCCAGCAAGTGTTTGTATCACTAGACAACAGTACAATAAATCTGAAGGATCCCATATTTTATCAAATGTAGCCCCAGGAAATTATAGTTTTCGATTACGTGCTATATCATTAGCTGGAAATGGTGAATTTACATCTTACAAATATTTTTCTATTTCTGTAAGTTTCTGTTACCTAGATTAATAATTACGTAAATAATTATTTCTATTTCAATTCATATTAATAGGAAACACCTGTTACACCAGATTCTCAATTATTAGTGATAGTGATATTGGTTGCAGTGGTAATTTGTAGTATAATTGTGTTGATTTTCTTTGCTCTCCATCGTTATTATAAAAATAAGTTGGATTCAACAAAATTATTTGTTACTTGTAATCCAGATTATATAAGTTGTGGTGCGTAAATATTTTTATTGAATTCCTTTAATATCAGTTAATATTTTTTTAATTTATGACATAATATTCTTTTAGAATATCAAGCCGACGAATGGGAAATTCCGCGTGATGATATTGAAGTTTTAGAACCATTAGGTCGAGGTTCTTTTGGAATGGTATATCGGGGAATCTGGAAGAAAAAGGATGGTGATTCTATTCCTTGTGCTATTAAAACAGTGACTGAAAATAATAACATTATGGTTAGACATGACTTTCTTTCAGAAGCTAATGTTATGAAGTATGTATAAAAGTTTATTATAATAAGTTATTTGTGTAATGGCTAGTTAAGTGATTTTAAAAACTGGTTTATTAACTGTTTTATATTTGTTAAATAAATATTATAATAATTTCATAACATTGGATCTATCTATTTTTAAATATAGTTTTAACTCTAAAAAAAACAAATTATTTATATATATAAATAATTAATACCAAATAATTGATGAAATTATAATTGGTTCCAATCTTAAAAAGATTGTAAAATGCAAATAGTTGAATGGATAAAAAAAATTGTTAGAACAAAGCAGTTTGTATTTTTTTTCTGTTATATTATAATATAGAAAATAATGGTTCCCATTAAAAAAAAAATAAAAATA